GAAGGCCGAAACGTACAATGGCGGAAACGTTGTAATAAATATGGCGACAAAGTACAATAGTCCGAATAATGTAAATAGTGTCTTCTTTTATGCTGTGAAAGCATTAATGTATTTATTACTCTATAATTCATTTCAAATCTGAGGTATCTCCTTTCTTTGGAGCTACCTATATATTTCTTATATATATATATATATATATATATATATATATATGAAGAAATATACTCTTACTGTGTGCTATATTTATGGGATAAAGTGCTCAATATCAGAGATAGAGCGTGTGTAAATATAAAAGTGAACATTGAAGGCGATAAGCTGTTTCGAGGCGATAAGCTGTTTCATGCTAGACGCAATCGTCAGGCCACGAGTGTTTTCTAGTCTATTTATATATATGGGTCAGTGGTGCATCGTGGGTACACTATTTTGGCGGTTATTTTGCCGGGACAAGTTTATTTGTTTATTTGTTTATTTATTTCGGTTAAATTATATTACTTGTTTTTATTTATTTTTATTTGTTTTCATGTCTGCATTTTGAGATGAGCTCGGATCGTTTATTTAATAATTTATTTTGGTCTGGGAAGGTAATGAATTCTATTTTTTATCCAAGTAAAGTTTCCATGTTTTGGATTGATTGTTGTAGGCTGATGGTATTTTCCTTATTTTCCAAGATATTTTTGATGTGATGTGCGTTTTGTTTCAGATATACTTAGAAAGCACTGTGCTGTTCGCGTATTTACTATTTGTGAAAGATGTGTAGTGAGCATAATTTCTTTGTTTTCAGGGTCTTTCATTTAATCCTATGTATAATTTTTCTCCATTATCTGCTCCCGCCAAAATAATAGTTAGAATAAACTACAGCAATCAACCCCAAAATTAAATAATCGATATAAACAATTTTCTTAAGTTAATAAAACATCGATTAAAATAAAAAAAAATAAATATATACATAAGATATGAAATAAAAATAAAAAATAAAAATAAATAAAAACCAGCAAAATAATTTAACCGAAAGGAATAAAAAAACAAATAAACGACTTCCGGACAAATAACCGCCAAAATAAGCTACCCAGAATGCACCACTGACGCGTATATATAGATAGCCAAGAAAAAAAAACAACACTCGTGGCCTGACGATATTGTCTAGCATGAAACAGTCTGACGCCTCTATGTTGACTTCAATCATTCATATTATATATATATATATATATATATATATATATATATATATATATGTAAGCAAATGTAAATGGATATAGATCCGACAGAATGAAGAAAAATTTTGAAAAACAAACAAAATCCTTAAATGCAATTATGTTGTTTAAAATGAATGAAATGTCATCTGACGTTTCAGTTTAATAAACCTTTTCAAGACAGTATTCATTAAAATACAATTCAGTTCAATTTGACAAAGACGATGGACATAAAAAACAAGTCTTATCCAAAACAGATAACTGAAAATTTTTAAAATGATCAGCTTTCCGTTTAGCATGGTCCCGTTGTCGTCACATGGGCGACGCTTTCGGAATACGCTTTGTTTATGTTGTGGATACAAAACAGAGCTGATATGCATTTGGAGAAAAAATCTTAAGAAAATGGAATATGCTTCATAGTTAAAATAGAATGATGCTTTAATGTGAAGATCTTCATAGCAGAAAAGTAAAACAAGTCGTATCAGGTGTTGGTTCCTTCTCCAAAGTGGGACGAAAATTCGAATTCTGTTGGAAGGCAAAATTTCTTTATTAAATTTTCCTTTGTACGTAAGCCGGTAGACGAAATGCATACGGTTTCAAATAAACGGAGCGTCTAAAATATTGGTAACGACAAACATAAGCTTTGATTAACACACACACACACACACACACAGGTATATATATATAT